ATATAGAATTTATACTTTTTGGAAAGCTGACTTTACATAAAATACGATAAATGAAACAAAACCTAAAAATTTTTGATACCGAGGGGACCAGGTCCATCCAAAAAAACCCTATTTTTTATGGAAAATTAAATTTTGAGCAAAAATTCTCAAATCGCATAGTCGATATCAAATTATAGTGACCTGTTTTATATGACCCAATAAGTTCTTAATCATTTTGTAACGGGTTTCGATAACCCCGCCCCTGGTATGGATATAATAGGCAAAAAACCAAAAAATCCCATTTTTGGGATTTTTTAAAACTTTTTTGGGAATTCCGGGATTTCTAATAAGAAAATTCGAAATTTTTATTTAATTTTGGATTTTGAGTAAAAAAATCTACCTAACTGTAAAATTTCATCAAAAAATATTCATAAATAAAATTTTTATTGCAATTTGAAAAATTTGTATCTTCGCAAAAACTGAATAAAAAACATTTTTTAATTTTTTTTTAAAAAAGTATTCCGCGAATTTTTTAATTTTCAAAAATTATATACAGTTTTGAAAAATAGACAAAATTACCTTTCCATTGATATATAACATGCCTACATAATGTTTTTTAAGTGACAAATTAATTAGGGAAAACTCAACATCTTTTAGAAAATTTACCTAGCACTATTATTTTCATCCATATATGTAACAAATTTAAGAGTTAACCTTATGGATGAAAATAATAGTGCTAGGCAAATTTTCTAAAAGATGTTGAGTTTTCCCTAATTAATTTGTCACTTAAAAAACATTAGGTAGGCATGTTATATATCAATGGAAAGGTAATTTTGTCTATTTTTCAAAACTGTATATAATTTTTGAAAATTAAAAAATTCGCGGAATACTTTTTTAAAAAAAAATTAAAAAATGTTTTTTATTCAGTTTTTGCGAAGATACAAATTTTTCAAATTGCAATAAAAATTTTATTTATGAATATTTTTTGATGAAATTTTACAGTTAGGTAGATTTTTTTACTCAAAATCCAAAATTAAATAAAAATTTCGAATTTTCTTATTAGAAATCCCGGAATTCCCAAAAAAGTTTTAAAAAATCCCAAAAATGGGATTTTTTGGTTTTTTGCCTATTATATCCATACCAGGGGCGGGGTTATCGAAACCCGTTACAAAATGATTAAGAACTTATTGGGTCATATAAAACAGGTCACTATAATTTGATATCGACTATGCGATTTGAGAATTTTTGCTCAAAATTTAATTTTCCATAAAAAATAGGGTTTTTTTGGATGGACCTGGTCCCCTCGGTATCAAAAATTTTTAGGTTTTGTTTCATTTATCGTATTTTATGTAAAGTCAGCTTTCCAAAAAGTATAAATTCTATATACATCTTCTTAGAAACTTTTTAGATAACTTAAAAAGAAAAAGATACTTTTTTCCCAAAAAAATGACAAAAAATCGCCTTTTTTTAATTTTTTAAATTTAAATGCCTATAACTTTGGACTCAGTCATGATTTTTACATAATTCTTTCACTGCTTGGTATATAAACTTGTTGTTAAGCAAATAAAAAAAAAATGGCGAAAATCGGAAATATTTGAACCTGCTATTATCAAAAAAACTAAAGTAAGGACGGTAAAAATTTTAAAATTTTGATATTCAAATGCGAATATCTCCTAAACTATAAGAGATAATTTACTGCTACGACGACATTTTTTATAGTGCTCGATGAGGAGATTCTATATACGAAATTTTTTTTAAATCGGAACTCAAATGAAGAAATAGGATCGTTTTAAAAATTTAACATAGCCGAGGTGTCCTAATTTGAGGACCCCCCGCCGGGCCCCTGGTTGGCCTATAAGGTCCAAATTCAAAACCTAAACTCGACAACACCTCCTCTTTGTGCATACCAAATTTCATTAAAATCGGATTAACCGTTTAGAAGTTACCGAATTATTTCCCTCTTTTTTTTTTTCCTATACCACTGTGGCTTGGTTGACCATATGAGCTCTGACGGCTGAATTGGAGCCACGACTTTCAAATTTTCTTTAATAAAAAGTGAAAGAAATTGCTTAACATTACTAAATTACTTAAAAAACTAGTTAAGGTATTTTCAGACTACAATACTGAGTATTAATACTTGTCAAGAATATTTGTATCATAATACAATTTACTAGTCTAAATATAATTTGTAATTTGATTTTCAAAAATATTACTGATTTTTTTGGCATACGGTCGGTATTCATAAATTTTTTAAAACAATTCAAAAACTTTTTATTTTCAAACGTATTCGGTATGTATTTTATAAATACAATAAAAAACAAACAAAAAGTGTAAAATACATTAAAAATAAGAACGAAAAGTGCATAAATAATTGAAAATTGGATAAAAAATATTACAAATGTTATAGTGTAAACATAAAATGTATTTTTCGGATTGATTTTTTGAAAATGCGAATTATTTTCATAATATTTTTAATTTGAAGTGTGTTAATACTCAGTATTGTAGTCTGAAAATACCTTTATTGAAAATATTTCGAGCCGAAGAAGTTTTGTATCCGCTTATTGATAACGATAATCCACCGATTTTTGGCCCCGATTTTGAGCAATATTTCACATTTTGGCAATTCAACCCGTTCTTGGTGGTTAAAAAGGGGCTTAAATATCAAAATATCTTGTTGGACAGGTAAAATAAGTTGAATTTAAAACTAAAATTTCAAGAAATGTAAAAATTTCGAAAATTAATTTGAAATTTAGGTATAGTACTTGTCGGGAATTAATACTAGTATAGACCCAATACAATCTATTGAAAAAAATAAAACAGAATGTTTATAAATGAGGAAAAAAAATATGTTTTTTTTATTTTATTACCTTTTCTAAAATCTAATACGTTTATTTTATGAAAAAAATTACAAAGAATATTCTTTCTGATGTTTTAATATGATAAGGTGCATTTTATCTGAACTTACGTTACAGTAGACTACCTACAATTCAAACTGAATTTTAAAATTTTTTGGGTTTTGTGAACTTTTTGTGTTAAATTTTACTTATTTTAGCATTATTTCACAAGTCCATCAATATACTTTGATATTTAAGCCCCTTTTTAACCACCAAGAACAGGTCGAATTGCAAATTAGCGAAATATTGTTCGAAATTTGTCCCAAAAATCGGTGGATTGTCCTTATCTATAAGTGGGTTCAAAACTTTTTCTTCTCGAAATCTTCTCAAAAACTATTTTTTTAGATAATTTAAACATTAGAAGACATTTCTTTCAATATCTGAAATTTTTATTTAAGAAAACTTGAAAGTCGGGCCTCTGATTCAGCTTTCAGGATCCAAATGGTCAATCAAGCTTCGAAAAAACAAATGTTAACATAAAAATTAAAGTAAAAAGTATACTTTTATATTAAGAATTTCATTTATAATTAAAATTTTTAAAAATAAGTGCAAAAAGTTGTTTAAGAAATCTCAGCTTATGTCCCCAGTGTAATACTGTGAATCGTTTCTATTATTTTTACCAATGCCAAATTTTTTAAATACCAATAAAATACGATGGAGCATAAAAACTTACAAACTCCATTTATCATAGGAAAGTAGACCTAAATAAATTTTATTTAAGATACAAATCATCAAATTGTAACGGGTACTTTTTGAGAAAATTTAGTTTTCGTCCCAAAATAAAGTCGTTTCTATTATTTTTTCCACCACTGTATATGGCAAATTTTCATTAAACCTGAATCCTCAAAAATACATTTAAATTGTACAAAAAAATACTATTCTTAAACTTAATACTCTTTAAACAAACCCTTTACTAGAATAGAAAACAATTGTTAATATTTTTTCACAAAAAGCTATTCAACACAGCCACCTTTGGGGTCAATTAATAAATTGACACTTGTGATTTATTAAATTTATTTCAACAGTACATTTAAGAACAGCTTTATTTATACAATGAAATGAATACTACTTATATAACTCTACATGAACAAGGTTAATTTATAGGTATGTAAGTATATTTTTGTGCTTGTGTGTTTTTTTATTTAATGATAGCATTTTAAATGAAATATACAAATGTACTACATTTGTGTTTAAAAAAAGTATTAATAAAAAATGTGTGTATATTTTTACACAAATAAAAAAGAAGATTTTTATATAAACAACTGGTTTTTGTGTCTTTTTTTGCAAAATATATATATTTTTTATTATGTATTAACTATTCGATTCTAAGAAAATTTTGTATTTATTTGAAATGTAAACAAACTAAATACATATGTACATATGGTGGTACATATTTATGTACATATGTATATTGAAGGACAAAAAGTTTCTAAAAAATAAAAATCGCAATTTGAAATATAAATTTGGTAAGTAATCGAACGTGAAAGTTAGGCGTGAGGTAATTGAAATCGGTTTTAATATTTAAATTAAATATCACTAGAATCGAAAAAAGTACTATATTAGAGAACTGAAACATATCTAAGTTCTTATCGGCATGAACAATCAAAATTAACCTTGAAGAACGTAAAAGTACCAAAAACTCCGTTCTTATAAATTCTCATTCCATCAGGACTGTCAAAGTAGCAATTGAGAAACAATAGGACGATATTATTTTTCCAATTACTCAGTGTTTAAAAACTATGCAAAGACCTTAGGACCCAAATTCCAAATAAGACAAAAATAGCTTATTTTGTGTGAGTAAAATTAACTATTTTTAAAATTTTATAAACACTTGTTCAATGTATTCGAAGGAGTCTAAATTGGTTCTTTTCCCCTTTTTGGCACTTTTTGCTCTCCATTGAAGGACCAAATAATTTATTTAAAAAAATCGCAATATTGTAGCGTTAGTCTTTGATTAAATATTGATTGAACGTCTTTAAATTGTTAATATTAATACATAATACATGAATTTCATGATGAGAACAAACTATTGTCAACCACTGCAGACTAATGCTAAAAAGATTTTTTGCATAATTTTAAAATGTTTCAGATATGTACATACAATTTATAAATCTATTTATTACATACCTCTTCCAATATTGCTATAGTTTGACGACAATCAGGCATACGGGATGCAAATGTTGACGTCGTTGGCGAATTATAATCATCTCGAGTCTCTTCGACAAACTCAGCAATACCAATCAGTGCGGGCGGCATTTTTAACAAACGAACTCAAGGCACTACAAAGAGTGCCACTGCAGGGAGTCCGAAACAATAAATGGAAATAGTTTAAAACTGGTCCGAAATTGATCGATTAGATCGAGCGTGACGACTTATAAAAAAAGTTCAATGATGACACAAAAAAGAAACAGCTGTGCTGCACTTACACGTAATTTATCCACGACGCACTCACGCACTAGTTATGACGAAAAATGTTTGCAAAAACAAAAATAAAGATAAATTCATAACAAAAACTTTGTATTTTAAAGAGCGTACGAGTGAATGTATTGTGATGTTCTTGCAATTACACAATTTGTGATTTACAATAACAAAAAAATATATAAAATTAAACACACACACAATTGCAACAAGATGTATTTTCGAATGTTTTGTTTTTTTTTGTCTTTTGCTTTGTACGAAAACAACAATAACCACGAAGGCGACGTCAACGACACAATGTGTCAGTCAGACTTAAAAAAAAATTGTTGTATTTGTTTGTTTATCGGTATGAAGACTTGTTATTGTTGTTATATTTAACTTCTTTCTCTTTTCGTCTTTGTTTTTATACATATGGATATTTTTTATGCCGTAAGATTGTTTTTTCATTTATGACAATTGCAAATGCAAAATAGCAACAAAATTATAAATAAATCTGATTAAATTGTTGCAAATAGCTATTTATTTTTTATATTTAGATATATTTGTGATGTTAATTGTTTAATAAAATATTTTTTGTTTATTCTCTAACCGCACAGAGAGTATTATTTTTGATTTTTTATTGCATTGTTTAATTGATGAGTATTTTTATTAAATTTCTACAACTTATATTTAACTACGTTGTTATTTACGAGACATCCTTTATGGTATTTTAAAGAACGCAATTCATATCCTTTTTAATTTAAAGAACGCAATTTAAAGGCCAACAAAGTAACAGAGATGACAAGATTTATTTATTATTTTTTTTACAATTGATGACTACTGCCATTGCCGCTGCTGCCACTCACTGCTACTGTTGTTTGTTGTAAAATTGTTTCTATTACTGCTTTTGTTGTCGTTGTTGTTGTAGTAGTTGTAGCAACACCCATTTTTCGCCACTTGAAACCTTTTTTTCTATTATAAATTATAAAAATAAGTAAATGTTTTTTTTTTCGCCTGTACTTAATTTATTTCTTTATTAAATTGTCGTTTGCCATTTCACTTATTCATAATTTTATATTGGAATTTCTTAATTTTTTCTTTTGTGCACTTTTTTCTTTTAAAATTTTTTCAATCATCTGCCTTGATTCTTTTTCTTGTACTTTATGTCTAACACTTTTTTGGTTTTGTTAGCTTTTTCATTTTTTATCACTTTTCCATAATTATTTAAATTATTTTTTAATATATTTTGAGGAATTTAAGTAAAAATGTATTATTTTTCATTCACTTGAGATGTTTTCACATAAAATATTTTTTTGCTCGTATTACTACTGACTGTGTTGCGCACAATAAAGATCTACGCAGACAAACATTATCGGCAACGCCGTTAGCGGAGACTAAACATTTTGGCAGCGGCTTTAAATCGACTGGCAATAAGCGGTTAAGTTTTCAGATGTGTTTTAAATATTAAAAATTTTAAGTATGGGTTTTGAATAAAAGTGCGTTCCGGGTCGGCATTCGATGAATCAAAATTCAATGTCGTCTATTCTGTTTAATAAAAGTTGATAACTCGAATATCTTGTAGGAAAAGTCGACTCTGTAAATAAGAGTCCATAAATCCAAAATACATAGTCGAAAAGTTGAAAAAGTCAAAAAGTATAAAATAATTCAAATATGATTTTTTGCTACAGACGGACAAACAAAGTTATTATTACAAACGTACAAATTGGAAAAATTACTCCAAAAATTATGACTTAAAAATAAATTCAATAATGCTTCTATTTATTTATTTAAAATACTTAGGGCCAATTATAATATCCAAATAAAATAAAAAATATAATAGTGTAGAAACAAAATATATAAATATATAATAATATGTAATACTGAAAATACGGATTAAAAATTGAAAGTCGTATGATTTTTTTAATTTTTTTTGAAAATTTCAAAACGATTGTGTTTTTTTTTATTTTATGAGAGTTTTATTTTTATTTAAACAGAAAAAATAAAAACAGAAACAAAATCCAATTTAAAATGAAAATTTTAAGGTCGAATAGTCGACTTTTTGTTTGAACTATAGCACGTTGTCGACTCTGCATACGACTCTGATAACATTTTTAAAATTTCTGCACTGAAAATCGCTAGAAAATGTTAGTAGTATTATCGATAACAGTACAATTAAAGAAAACTTGAATATATAAATTAATTACGAATTTTATATTATTAGATAATTTCTTATTGTATTTTAAAAATCTAGGACTAAAAATTTATTGTTTGATATTTGCTCTTTAAACAACTTTTAGTATACTAACGGACAACAAAGCCTTGCCGCCGATAAATTTTTAAAACGCCGTCAAAATGTTAAGCTTATATTGATTTGAAAATTGCTTGAATTCTTACTATAAGTAGTTCCCTTAGTACTTACGTTAAATTATTTAAATTTAAGCATTTAATACTTTATTTCTTTAATTTAATAAATTTTTCTATTTGCCAATTAACACCCGTTATAAAGCCGCCACTGACTTGCTTGTGTTCAGCCGTCGTTCCCTTAAATTTTGTACGACTTAGGTGTCTGTAGTTGAACCGCACAAGCCGCATATAATAGATTCAAAATATTATATGCATTTATATTTATCTATGTATGTCTGGTGGAACATATTGTTTATATGAAACAGACCTTTTATTAAAAAATTAATCAAATGGATATTATAAACATACATAAGTAAAAAATTAATGAAATATGATTCTTATTACATATCAAATACATTATTAGGTGATTTTTATAAACTATTGTTAAACAGGTCCATTATCACAAAAATAAATTGAAAATGATTACATCTATCTATCTTTTATCTATCTTCTAAATTGTTTGTTTATATGTTTGAAGTTTATAGACTACTAAACGGCTGAACCGATTTTCTTGATATTTTCACAGTATATTCCTGTTTGTCTGGAAGAGGCTACTTTTATTAAATCAGTATATCTGAGATAATATAACGGTTAGAGTCCTCAAATTTTGTCGGAGCCCCTTTAGTGTCAATATGATTACTTAGGACAAAAAGTAGGCGCACTAGCAGCAGGAGCATGGCATCTCCCATATGAATTAAATACAAAATCTCGTATATCTGGGAAACTATTAGATTATTCAAATTTTTCATAGATTACATTAAAATCTTAATTAACGTTCGGAAAAATTGGCGAAATTGCAATAATTTGCGTGGAATCTCCCATATGTAACAAATTGTATATCTGGAAAACCATTGTAGTTAGAATCATCAAAATCGTTAAGTGGGTTTCTTATTTATATTGCTTTTAGGGTAGCAAAGCACAGTGGGTATAGCTAGTAAATAAATAAAATATCTTTGTTTTTACGTTATTGATAATTTTCTTAATGCAAAATTTTTAAAACTGATTTTCTACAAGATGTTTTATATGGAGGATAGGCTCAAATATAGGCCGATCCTCGTAAAACTTGGAGAAAGGAGTTGTTTTTAATTTTTAAGAATTTTTTATCCTTCCCTGCATAATTTCTCACACAACTTTTGTGCTTGCTCTGTTTTGTTGTTATAAACAATATATTTGCTTCCAAAATCCCACATTCTGATCTCTCGGATTCCGTTTTTATTTAAAATCGTTGAAAATTTAAAAAATAAACTTAGTTGAAATCTTAGCCGGCTTACAGTCGATTTTAAGCCGCCGCCAATATATTTAGTGTCAGTCGCCGCCGCCGTTAATATTTGTCGGCACAGGACTCTGCCGCACAAGCCGCAGAAAAAGGAAATAACTTTTGCACATTTTTGCAAAAAATAAAAAGTTGAATAAAAAATGGCTGGAAAAAGGCAAGCTACCTCGGATCTTAATCACGATAATTGGGATCGCGAAGAAGAGCCGGAGGACCGTGGAACTTTCCGTACAGCAAGTGAAGATGAATTAAAAAATCGTGTGATTAAAAAAGCTAAACGAAAAATAGCGCCAGCTTCTGGCAGTGATGCAGCTGATGGTGGTTCCGGCACCAAAAGTGTATTTAGCGGTTTTGCCGGCTTTGGAAAACCAGCTTCAACTGCGGCAACAACAGGATCCGCATCACCATTCTCATTTTTAAGTAAATTGCCGGCTGCTGCAGCAACTTCCACTCCAACAAGCAGTGCTGTCAGCAGTAGCACAACAACAGCTAATGCCACTCCAACCTTTTCTTTTGGTACAGCGACTGCTACTGCTTCTAAAACTACTGAAAGTTCAAAAGCGGCCTCAACATTTTCATTTGGAAATACTAATGTCTCCGCAACCACGACTGCAGCTTCCAAAACTTCAACAACAACGGCCAGCGAAAGTTCACCATTTTCATTTAGCTCTTCTTCTGAATATTATAAGAAACTAAGCAGTCTCAATCAGGCTGTTAGTGAATGGGTAAAAACTCACGTTGACAAGAATCCAGTATGTATTCTTTCACCAATATTTAAAGATTATGAAAAATATTTAAAAGAAATCGAGGATGAAAAGAAGAAGGAAGCAACAAAAGGCTCTACCACAGATGCCACAGAAAAGCCAGCTTCAACGCCATCAACAGGAATAGGAAGCTTCAAATTTTCCAGCAGCAGCTCGTCCACTACATCGGCAACATCAACCACAACAGATACTGCGGCAAAAACAAATGGCTTCTCTTTCGGTCTTAAGAAAACCGAGGAAACATCACCAGCTAAGCCTGCCACTCCAGCTACAACATTCAGTTTTGGTTTAAAACCTTCCACTTCAGAGACATCCACCACGACAGCAACATCTTCGTCAACCACGACCCCATCGTCTGGTTTTTCATTTGGCAATTTGTCAAATACCACCAATCAGTCGAGCACTGCTCCGAAACCATTCTCTTTTACACCCACACCATTCTCATTTGGCAATATTAAACCCCCAGCTGCTGCATCAGACACCACAGCTGCCGCAAATGAGGACGAAGATGAGGAGCCGCCCAAAAATGAATTCAAACAAGTGGTGGAAGATGATGCTGTCTATTCGAAGAAATGCAAAGTTTTTGTCAAGAAAGATGGTAACTTTGTTGATAAAGGTGTTGGCACTTTATATTTGAAGCCAGTGGAATCAAGCGAGAAAACTCAACTGATTGTACGTGCCGACACAAATTTGGGCAACATTTTAGTGAATTTAATTTTGAATTCGGCAATTCCTGCCCAACGCATGGGTAAGAATAATGTTATGATGGTTTGTCTGCCAACACCGGATGTAGAGAAACCAACATCTATGTTATTGCGTGTCAAAACTGCCGAGGAAGCTGATGAACTTTTGGAGAATATTGACAAATATAAAAAATAAATTTGCTTTCTGTTTGTTTTACTTTATTGTGTTTATGTTCACCTTAGTATTAGATCAAATAAAAACAAAATTTAATTTTAAATCATATAGATTATTTTCGGTATCGCCATTTAAAGGGCAAACGGCACTTACAAGTCAAACTTGTTTAAAGGAATCTAAAGTCGTTTGTGGGAGGAAACTTTTATATATCTCGGTTGCCAGTTACCAAAATGATGTGGATAGTGAACGTTTTTTAAGCAATAGCTTGGAAACTTTATAAATAATGAATATTTTATTTATTAATAATATTAGTTTTTGGTTGACTTAAACTATTTCTAGACTAAACTCGTTCTCTTATCGAATTTGTATTATGGTTTTATTTTCGTAATATTCACGAAAATTTCGTGAATAATACGTAATATTAATATATCATATAGTTTTATTACACAGGAAGACAAAATTTGAAAAAAGTCGAAACCTTGAGACCAAGTTATACTTTTCTATTTGATTGAGACTAACTGAATAATACGAATCTGACCTCTATCGCATCTGGAATTTAAGATATCTTGTGCTGAAGTTTGAAAAAAACGCAGTTTTCGATCATTTTATGCCAAAACAACTTTATTTACAAAATGTTGTATGTCATCTAAAAGTCCATTCTGTCCATCTCTGTTATCAATAGTATTTGAATATTAAATGTAATACATTGTTTAAGAGAATGATTTCACCAAAGAACACTAAATTTCCAAAACTAAATTTTTTTTAATGAAAAACAATAATTTTACATTTTTATGTTTTATTTTATTTCCCAGTACAATAAATCTGCTCTTAAAAAGAAAACGTACAAGCAATTGTGTTTACATATAGAAAAATAATTCAATTAATAATATTGGGATTGATTATGTTTAGAAAAATCCTAAAAAAGCCTTAATATCTTCTTTTAGAGTTTTCTAAAGGAAAAAAGGACTTTTATCATGAAATTAATTGTTATTCATGCCAGGGATATCCCGTATCCTTTTTGCAGGTTGTTTTTTTTATTGTTTTACTTATTAAATTATTTACTATTATTTAATAAACAAAAAAAGTGAAAAGTTTTAAACAAAGTTTTTTAATATGTTTGTATGTATACGATTATAAAATTATTTAAAAAAAATAATAATTATAACACTCATATTACTAGATTGAATATTTATAAATGAAAATATAAAATAAAAAAAATACTTATGTATAAAGGGTAAAAACAAAGTTGCATATCATATAACATGTTTATTTAGATTTTAGTTACATATTAACAGCATTAGCATTAGTTTGTTAGTTAGCAAGCAGTGTTGTTATTTTTTTATAACCATAAGGATGCCAATATCATCAGTTATGTTCTCGATGTCATAGTAGACGGATTTCTCAATGGCCACCATGTCGCCGACACCAACTCGACTCTCTTTGTCGTTGGCTGTTATACGAAAATTGCCCACTAACGTAACGAAGTGTAAATGAAAACGTTTGGCCTTCTTTTTCGGCTTGATTTGGCGCGGCTTGAAGCGTAAGTAGCCCAAACTGGCCTTCTCGTCTGTATCGTAAAATGCATACTCGACACCTTGCAATTCGGTAAAGGAGAGATTGGAGGCGGCTGAAATTCGCATTTCCTTGAAAATCTCCTCATTGCGTGCCACCGAATTGTCCGATTCTGATATGTTTTTCAACCATGAAATCAATTCATAGTTTGAATTGTTGTTGTTGGAGGAGGAGGAGGCGGCGGTGTTGTTGTTGGTGGTAGTGGAGGAAGAAACATGCACAGCATCGTAGGCCGCTGGTTGCGACGAAGATTTTATACGGGCCACACGAACTTTTAACGGTTTAACCTTTTGCACCAAATCACAAGATGATGATGCTAGTTGCATTGGATCTTCTGGTGGCCGTGGCGGTGATGTGTTAAGTGTGGAACTTGTATTTCGAAGTTGATCAAATACATTGTTTAGGTGATCAACGGGTGGCGGTTTGTTCATAACTATACGACTGCACTCAATATGATCATTCGGTTGGATTTGATCTTTGTTACTCTTTTTATTCTGCTTACGTTTTACTTTTGTTTCTTTAATTTTTGTTGCCTTCTTTTTAGTCAAAATATGCACATCTTCAACCAGTGGAGCAATATAGGGATCATTTTCGGGTACAGTTGGTAGTTGATTTCGTTTTTTAGCGAGTTTTTGGCTGGATACTGATTGGATGGTGTTGTTATTATGTTTTGCCCGATTCGCTTTAGATAATTCTCGTGATTTTTGCTTTTGTCTTTCTTTATTTTTTTCCCTAATCTCCATGCGTTTATTAGCTTGTTGGAACAGCATTTGAAATAGATGTGGTACCGAATGCTTTAAAGGCACTTGACCACGCTTCGATCTACGAAGTGATCCGTCTGTTGTGTCAGTACTATTGTCAGTTGATTCATGTGAATCGCTTGTACTTTGTACTAAATCACTTGAGGAAGTTTTACTTACTTTCGGTTTTCGTCCTCTTACCTTGGGGGCCGGTTGCAAAGGTTTTTTGAATATTTTATCATCATCATTATCGGTATGGCTATTGTTCTTATTCATCTGTTGTGTAGTGTTGTTGGTAATTTGTTCGGTTGGTAGTGTGTTGTTGTTGTTGTTGGATATAGTGGTGGTGGAGGGGTGAATACTAAAATGATTTGAACTGACACCTGAATCACTTTCAAATCCAGGTGGTGGTGGAGGTATAGCTTCACTTATAGTAGTATTGGTATCTGAAGAATTTTCTTCTACTTCATTTCTGGTGTTTTGTTTGTTTAGTCTGGTTACAGATTTCCTGGTGCTAATACTTAAGGGAGGTGGTGGCGATACAACTTTCAGAGTTGTAATTTGATCGCCATCTGATTTAGGAGGCGATGGTACATACGGTATACTTTGTTTATTATTTCTAGAGCTAGAACGTGTCGTCTCCATCTTTTCTGGGGAACTATTAGTTTCTTCGGAGTCGGAGTGGCCCTGAGTATAAAGGGAACGTTTTGATTTATTTATGCTGTTTTTACGGTTTTTCTTTTCAGACAACAATTTTGATACCTCTAAATATTGTTTTAATACGTCTGGCAATTGCTTCTCCTTGGCTTTTGATTTACGCTGTTTTTGTTGCTTCAAACTGTTTCTGTTTTTGAACGAAATACGATCTGTGGATCTTTCATCAACTAGAGATGATTCTAAGTTTTCACCTTGTACCTGCTGTTGCTTAGCCATAGAGTCTCGGAACTCATCAGGTGCTGGTGGATATTCGCCTACTTCTTCCATATTTTCCGTTTCGTTTTGTGCAACCTCTTGCTCAGCTGCTTCGTCAAGGTTACGCCTAAGCAGTTCCATTTCAATTTGATTGTCCAATTGAGTTTGCTTTTTAGCCGCTTCTTCGTGGGACCGCACGGACTTGCGCCCCGATATGGCAAAGACACGACCCATAGAATTGCGTTTACGCAAATCAAGTATCTCGTAGTTGCTCATTCGAGCTAATTCTTGAGCAAATCTTTCACCATTTAATGGTGTACCTGGCGCCCTGTTAAGAGGTATGTATTTCCTTTTAACCATACGTTTACTGGTGTGAGCTGGCGGAGGAGGTTCCGTCTCCGTTTCAGTACTTAGTAACTGACTATTGTCCATTTGTAATTTTCGTCGAGAAAAGGAGCGTTTGCGCAAACGTTTCGTTCGTATATTAGTTGCACTAGGTGCTAAATTTAAAGGTGCCTGGCTATTATTTTCTATGGTACGTGATACTGCAGCTTTTGGAGTCTCATCTTCATCTTCGGTTAAAATATCGGTTAATTTTAGATTATCTTCATTTAGCTGGTTGCATTGGTCTTCGTTGTTGACATTAGCTGTTTGCTGCGGAGTTATTTCTTCTAACGGTACAGGTGATGGAGTCTTAGACTGTTTGGTTTTGGCTGTTATAATTGTATAATTGTTTTTGGGAATGTCTTCGCCATATGTACGGTTAAATGTTTGATTTATTGGTATAACTACCAGAGGAATTTCCTGATTAGCGGACTGTATAGCTATGGAATTTTCCTTTGTAAATGGTACCTCTTGAGTTTCAGGTATTTCAACATCTTGTGTAGGAAATACAATTGACACATTATTTCTGGGAGGAGTGTTTGGTACCTCATGGTCTGGCCTTTTTAAATTTGGCGTTACATTCTGATGTTGTTGTTGACTATGAGAACGACTTACTTCCAGCATTTTAGCAGCTCTTTGTGAGGTGTTGTTTGATTGGTTGGTCCTGCTCTGCTCCATATGAGATATGGATTTATTTAGGTGCCGTGGTGATATGACATTATGTGGGCTTTTAACTCTTATTGAAATCATGGAACGATTTTTGCTTCGTTCTGGTGTCTTCAATATTTTGCTGGGAGAAGGTTGTGTTCGAGATCTTAACAATCTACCAGGAGGTGGACTTTGTGCTGCTGTGTCTCGGTCTGGTGTTAATATTACTTGTCCTGGAGAGTTTCCCCTTTCCATGGTGTAGGTACGTTTCAAGGGAGAATTGGTAGCATTAGTTTCTGTCATTGAGTTTTTATTATTTTCCTTCTCTTGAGTTTGTATCTTCTTCAAGGTATTCTCCAAGATACTTTCCATATAATTTTTTAATTCTTCATCTTTACGTTGCAAAGTTCGAATTAAGGTATCAGTATGACCACAACATGTATCATTGGTAGCAGGACTGTTGTTTTCTGTTGCATTGGGTTCCAAGTTTTCTGTCCCAGGCGAGTTGCTAGAAGTGGGAGAGGAAACGAGTGTTTTGTCTTGTTGTGGTTGCGAGAGGGGAGTGCTACATACAGGCGGTTCGAAATTTGTCTCCGAAACTGTACTTTCAAATTCTTGCAGTAAGGTGCGTCGGCCAACGCACATCTTGGATAGACGCTTCAAACTGTAACGTCGAAGTCTGTCGCCTGGAGAAACGCCACCACTTTTGCGTATTGATGACAAACGAGGACTTAGAGGTCGAGAGGGACTCAATGGATTAATAGGGCTTTGGGGTCGAGAAGGGCTCAATGGAATTATAGGACTTTGGGGTCGACTCGGGCTTAGTGGTCTCCTGGGTGAAATTGGAAAAAC